GTGTGTGTGTGTGTGTGTGTGATCTGTGCATATAGCTTATAGATAGGGCGACAAACGAGGTGCCCCCATCATTCATGATCATGATCCAGATTGTATCTCTCCCCATCTCTCCCCATCTCTCTCCATATCTCTCCCTCCATCTTTCTCAATCTCATTCTTTCTCTTCATCTCTCACTCACTCGTCTTATCTCTGTCTTTTACTCGCTCGCTCTCTTTCTTTCTCTCTCAGTCTCTCGCCATCCGACCTGCCCACCTGTCCGACTGCCTGCCTGCTTCTACCTGTCTACATTTCTGCTTGCTTTCCCGCCTGCCTGCCTGCCCGTCTACCTATCTACCTGTGTCTACCTACCCGGCTGCCGGCCTGCCCGCCTGCCTGCATGCCCGCCTGCCTGCCTGCCTGCCTGCCTGCCTGCCTACCTATCTACCTATCTGCTTACCCGACTGCCTACCTGTCTACCTATCTACCTATCTGCTTACCCGACTGCCTACCTGTCTACCTATCTACCTATCTGCTTACCCGACTGCCTGCCTGTCTACATATCTACCTATCTGCCTACCCGGCTGCCCGCCTGCCCGCCTGCCCGCCTGCCGTACTGCCTGCTTATATACGGGACAGCCTGCATGGTCGTGGTTTAATATCCAGCTGACACTGCGCGAAAACCGCCCGTCTCCTCTCTCTCTCGTAATTTTCTGCCGGAGTGAACACTCGGAATTGGCCAATTTTGATGCCAATTTGCCAACCCTATTGTGGCAGTAAGGCCGTTTTATGGCGTATTAAATCTCGGACCGAGAGGCCTGCGTGATCAGATACGTGATTTACAGTATTTATAGGCATTGCAGTCATATTAATTTCTTGCGCGCAAACGCGGCAGGCGATATACGAACGCGAAGCTCGTAATCTTGCGGCACTATTTCGCGTGTTTTCCGTGTATAAATCCGCGCCGCGCACAGCCGGGCGGCGCCACCCCGCACCGCTGAACATATGGGCGAGAGAAGACTGCCTATATATGGGGCTATAAAATAAACCTATATATCGTAGGGCGGTTAAAAGACGATCAGTGTCACTAGTAGTCGATAGGAGTGTGTGCCGGATTCATGCACGCGCGGGGAGGGAGCAGTCGAATCAACTCTCGGCGAATGTCTGGTTAGATTTATCTGTGTAGCCCCTCGAATTTATTTGGACGTAACGATAAATTTATTTGGATGTAACCGTAAATATATTTGGAGGACAGCTTAAATTTATTTGGATGTAGGCACATTTCAAGGTTCTCGTTTTGACATCACCGCACATGAAAAAGACCGCGATTTTTTCCACGTAACAAGATTCCATTCCCATAGGAAACATGCAGACACGATGTGAGAAATCCTAGCGCAGATATAGCAATATGATATACGATATCCATCGAAATACGAGGCTGGGTAGATCACGGTGATCACCTCGCTCTAATTTTCTACGAAGGTTTGTCCAGCATCAGCCGACGTGTACGAACTACCAGATTCCACTTTACACTTATTATATATGACGCCAGCGTAGCATCGGTTGTTTTTCCAATCTAAGAAAGGGTTAAACACGATATTCACCTATCGATTCACATTAAAAACATCGGCTCACGTCTTCGAAGTCATTACCGGAATGCGAATCCGATAGAGGTCGCGCGCGTCGCACTTATCTCTTCTCAAATTCGAATCATCTTGCGAGAGCAGGCGCGCGCACGAGTGCACGCTCGACCGGAGTTTGGTCGGAGGACGTGTATCAGTATAATCCGGCCCCTGGAGAGCCGTCACTTCCACGGATGGTAGACGGATAGCTGCATGGCTGTCGCCGCGTCTTTCTGTCATGCGCGGAGGCCATATTGAGGTGTGGGCTAGTCATTATACTATTATTATTATTATTATTATTATTATTATTATTATTATTATTATTATTACTACGGGATACACGATAATTACATGCTAGTAATACTTTAGCGCAACTATGAGAGCGTAACCGGAGTAGTAGATGCCTATTGTTCCGCAGCAGAAGCCGAGAAAGATGATGAAAGCGTCGAACATCACCGTCAGCCATCCGAGCGTGTTCCATTTTAGCCGCATGTGGAAGTAGCACGGCCAGACGAACGACAGCATCGTTCCCGTAAAGCTACCGATGAGTCCCATCAGGATGGCGAAGTGCGGCACGGACACGGCCATGACGAGCGTGAAGACGACGAGTAGGATGCGCAGAGAGATTGCCCAGATCTTATAGGCGCCGTCGTCGCGGTAGCAGGACGGGAAGCACGTGCCAGCCTTCTCGTTGAAGAGCGCCGTCTCGAGCAGTTCGGCTGCGGCGTAGAACGGCAGCGGGTAGGAGAGCAGCGCCTTGACAACGAGAATCATGTTGACGACGGCCTTAAAGCTCGGCGTCGGAAGATTGTTCGTGATCACCTCCTGCGTCGCGAAGCCGAACGTGAGGAAGCCGAGCCAGCCGAAGCCGGCCTTGAAGATGGCCGCGGCGACGTGGCTGACGTTGAGCATGCACGTGAAACGGTCCGGACGCGTCATGTTGCCCTCGAGCGTCGGCAGGAAGATCTGCGACGTGTAGCTGAAGACGACGATGCCGAGCGCGATCGGGAACGTCCAGATGTCGATGCTCACCTTCACGCTGCTCCAGTCCCACTCGCCGGCGCGCGAGAAGCAGTAGCCGAGGATGATGATGTTGATGACGAGATGCACCATGCTGCACCAGAAGCTCAGCCACGAGACGGCGCCGAGGTGCTTGAGGAAGGCGCAGGGCAGCAGCAGCGTGCAAGCGATCGTCATCCACGAGGCGATGCCGATCGAGCTGTCCGGGAAGCTGCCGATCATCAAGTCGCCGCACAGCACCACGTACAGAATGCACGTCATCAGCAACTCGATGATCTGCGCGATGTTGACGATGCGACTGCCGACGCGCTTGCCCCACGCGACCTCGGCGATGGCGACGTAGCTGTCGCGCACGCGGTGCTTGACGCCGTACTGGTCTTCCTCGTACAGACAGTCGACGAGGATCTTGCCCGTGTGGCAGCAGATGTACGAGACGCCGACCATCGCGAAGATGCCCCAGTAGCCGCCGTGCAGTACGGCGTAAGGAAGACTGACGATGAACATGCC